CTTTTTGCAGACGTTCAAGTGATAATCGCGCCAGTCGTGGATACCTTACAAAGACAAGTTCATCCCCTAGACAAAGTAATAACAAAGTATGTTGGAAAAATATCTACCGAAAGAACAAAATGTGATGGCAACCTCGGGCAAAGACGGAATCCGCACAAAAATAAGAAATAAACCACTACAGCAAATATCGCACTTCGGATTCTTGGAATGCGAGGTAACTTATGACAAAGATAATGATTACATGAAAAAGTTAAATAGACTCCAGTCCGTGTGTTGAACAATTGCAAAAACTTTTAAAATCAAGGCACCGCTAGAACCGCAGGTAAGACTATATAATATTTTAGCGGTACCTATAGCATTACACGGAAGTGAAGCCAGGTCTACCACAAAAGTTAAAGAACTAAGACTCACGACAATGGAGATGACATTCTTACGAAAAATAAAAGTAATATGTAGAGAAGGCCGAATAAGAAATGAACTAAAAACGCAATCGTTAGAAAAAAAGTAAAAGTATAAAAAATAAATGAAAGGGAACATAGAAAGGATGACAGAATAATAGAATTCATAGATAGATAGAATTGGACGACCAATATAGAGATGGTAAAGAAGAGCAGATGTTTAAACAGCCAATTAATTCTTGAAATTGTTCATTTAATTGCAATGTAGGGAAGTTCTTCAAACATTATTGATTTTTCACGTACTAAAATCGATTACTAATCTCTTGCCTCCAGTTTTCTTCGAGACCAGCCACATTGGACTGCCATATTGAGATATTGCCTTTGCAACAAAACTTAATTACTTAAAACTAGACTAACCTGTTTAGTAATTTTTCGATGAGAAAGAAAAAAAAAACACTTAGTTTTATTAATTAGTATATTTTAACAATTTTGACAGGATTTACGATTCCGAATTACTGTGATAGATTTGCATCCTTATGTTATACAGGGTGGTCAGAATTGTATTCGAGAAACTGCGGCAGTACCTATATTCTGCAGATAAAAATAAGTTAAAAAGTTAGTAAAAATGTATGTCCTAAAATGCTTCGTTTCGGAGATACAGGGTGTAGAAGTTTCATTTTTATTTCGTTTTTTTCCAAATAATTTCTGAACTATAATCGATATTTCAATAAAAATTGATGTCTGGGTATTTTTTGACATGAGAAATTTGATTTCGATGTCAATATGACTTCTATTTGTAGGGGACGCTACCTATATCTGTTTTAAGCTTTGAATAAGAAGACTAAGGAAGGAGCATATCAAAAATCTTAGGTACACCGCGATGGGCCTCAAATATGGCCGACTTAAATTCCGGTTTATCAGTGTCGTTCTAATTTTATTTAAAAAATATAAAACTATGATGTAGGGTAGACGTGGGGTAGACTCAATAATTTTTTGTTTTATTTTACGTTGTGAATAAATGTTGGTAGTTATTAAAATTGTTATAAAAATATATAATTCTAATAAAAATAGATAAGTTATAATAAGTATTTATTAACACAAACATCCGATACGCTACTGAAGCAGGTAAGTCAAATTAACGTATCTAAATTCTTTGACATCTAATCTTTGACAAGTAATAAATAAAAGCTAAAATGCAAGAAAAATATATAATTTAGTTAATTTAAGTGAATTTCATAAATGATCGGTTTACTACACGTATGTATATTATATAGTCACTTACTAGCGAAAAGTTGTTCCATTATTTCACTCAATTTTTGCCGAGATCTACCGCACGCTACACAACCAACTATTTTAGAGTCTTTTTCGATAAATCGCGATAGTGTCACTGTTAATTTAAGTTCCGCCACAATTTCCATCTAGATTTACTACTTTTATACAACTATCACTAGTAGAATAAATAATAAATAACATAAAATAAGCTCCGTAAAGACTGACAAATCCACAAAATTTCAAATCAAATTCAAATGTGTCAAATGAATCGTCAAACAGAACTGTCAAGGATCCCCACCCTAGAGAGCTTTTATGGTGGCTTTTCCGCCCACCATGCATAAATACATGGATAGCATTATGCTCCTTCCTTAGTCTTCTTATTCAAAGGTTTTAACTGTTTCGAAGAGTAATACATTTTCATCCGTACCTGTATAGAACAACTGGAGTGAAAAATACATTTCCGAGATTTTTTACGTAACAAATTCTTGGTAAAAATGGCTACGGGCAATACATGTCATTATTGACAAAAAATAAACATGTTAAGTAGATAGTTATTTGACTGAATGATAAATTTCGGAACTTTTTATTTTTTAAATTAATCTTAAATTTTTCTTTAAAAATGTTCATAAAACTGTTTCGGTTGAACTTTTGGCACAAAATAATTTCAAAATTATTATTTCAGTCTAATACCTATTTATTCAACGTGTTTAATTTATGTCAATCATGACAGGTATTGATAATTTAGATTCCATCTGGAGAACCATTACACGCAGCGATTTTTATCAAGAGACCTTTTTGCGTAAAAAACGTAAATGTATATTGTTTTAATCAGTAGTTTTATACAGACGAAAAGTTATTAATCAGTAGTTTCATACGAACAAAAAGTTATTAGTCTTCAAACCAGCAATAAAATATATATTCCTCTACAAATAGAAGTCTTATATGGCCTCTACAAGTATGAGTCATATTGACATCAAAATCAAACTTCTCATGTCAAAAAACTACCAGACACCAATTTTTATCCAAATATTGACGTTGCTTCAGAAATTATTTCGAAATAAAAATAAAACTTCTACACCCTGTATCTCTGAAACGAAGCATTTTAGGACATACATTTATACGAACTTTTTTACTTATTTCTATCTGCAGAATATGCTGCCGAAATATCCCGAATACAGTTCGGACCACCCTGTATATGAAATGGTGTTAGCAGGTTTAGAACCACGATATGAAATACCTTTTTTTTAATTGCCGACGTTTTGTCGTATATTCTCGTCTTTAAATGGCCTGGAAAAGAGGAGGATATACGTCGAAACCTCGTCAAATTTGAAAAAAAAGGTTATTTTATTTCCTGTTCCTTTTATCACCTGCTAACGCCATTTCATTACGAATTACGATATTTAATTTATAATACGGTAAGTATCACCTAGCACAGGTTTATGCTGATATCGTCAACTTGAAGATATGAAAGCAAATTGCAGTGGGAATGATGTGAAATTTGGTATTGTCATGTCCTTTCAAAACGAGTGTAAAAAGAGTTTTTTTATTAGAGGACCTAGAAATCAAAGCACTATTGTAGGACCCTGTATAATTAATTATAATATTTAGTATTTATCTTATCTCTGGTTCAAAATTTAATTAGGGTTTCCAATTTTCGAGATCGGGATCCCGTTTTGAAATACCGGGATTAGAACCTACAGTATGTCCCCGGATTGTCTTGACAAGAGGAAAACCTTTTTTATTATTGACATTTTAAGAAAAATGCATTCTTCATAAAAAAATTTGCTTGTTTTCATTCTTCGTTTTCATTCTTTGATAGATTGTTATTCATAGAATTTGAATTAACGTAATGTTTTTTGTTGTTTTAAAATGTTAAAGAAGCATAAAATTTATTTAGTTCAATGCTACGAAAAGGATGGTGTTAATTACCGAAAAATATGATTTTTTGACAACAGCAAAGAATATTATATTAATCAAAATTAATAACAACCATCTATCAAAGAATCAAATCGAATTGATATTACCATAAAAACGGCTTTTGATTTTTAGAAAAATTCAAGGATATGTTCATTCTTTTCTTAATTTTCTCTAAAACGGTATGGAAATTTGGAAAAGTATAAACGGTTTTAACCATTTTAGAACAAGGAAATGCATTTTTCTCAAAATGTCAATAATAAAAAAGTGTTTCCTCTTGTAAAGGCAATCCGGGGACGTACTGTATAATCCCGGGATCCCGAGATTTGGACTATCAATCGAGAAAATAAAAAAAAATCGAATGAGAAATTTAATCTCAAGAAATGCAGAACTTAATAATGCAGCTACTTATATCAAAAAGAAAATGAGAAAAGAGCTAGACAAAACAAAATAACATTCATATTTAGTAAGTAAAAAATACAATTCTTGTTGCAAAAAAAATAAAAGACGACAATCACGGAAATATAACTTTTAAATATTAACGTTCTGCTTAGCATAAATAAAATATGATCCTTGAAAGACTAAAGTGTATAGAGTCCAGTCATTTTAGATTGGGCATTTAAATATTTCGATATTCCCGGGCTGCCGGGATTTAATATCGGGATTTTGGGATAAACATACACCGAGATCCTGGTTTGGAAACTCTATAATCACAAACTGACTGTATAAACAAATATTATTTCAGGAAAATACAATATGATAGAAAAAAACTGCGTTAGCGATGGCTATGAAATGAAGATCGCTGTCATTTTATATGGGGAATGTATATATACCCGGAATGTCATCGGTCGTCATTTCCAAGCCAACTCGACCCCGTTTGTTTTCGATCATGTGTATGTTCACTGGTATAAATGAACATATTTTTCTGAAATCCTAACAAAATTCCTATGATCATCTTTGTTAACGAAATGCAGATGTGCCTGACACACTGTTGCAGGACTTACTGCATAATTATTTACTTATAAACTTCGAAAACATCACTTTCGAAACCATATTTCTGACGGAAGAAAACTCAATTAAAATTAGACATATTTCCACCCGATTGTCAGACATTGTTAAAGAATCTTAGATTATCCTGTTTCACCATAAATTCGTTGCCTTCAAATCCATAAAATGTTTAAATTTACCCAAATTTTAGTACAAAAACAAATTTTTTATCGCTTTAAGAAATAAGATACATCATAAATTCGTTGCCTTCAAAACCAGAAATGTTCTATTATTAGACAGAAAAACAGGTTTAACAAATAAAAAACTTGAAATTCCCCTCTAGAAACAGGTTATCCGAAAAGCGCCGTTGCCGGACTTGGCACAGACATCGAACAGACCGCCCTCTATTTTAGTTCTTCTTTTTTCCAGTCCCTTTCAAAATGGTATTCACCCAATCTGTTCCTGCCCCAGCCGCGTCATGGCGAGAAAGCTATGCCCATTCAATTGGCAACAATGCAACAGAACGACAGAACAATGGACGACCGCCCACTCTACATCACACCAGCGCTCACACCACCAGGATACGATCTTGGGGACTTTGCGGAGATGGAATCGATGCAGTTCGTGAATCCGCACGATGTGAATCCGCCGCAGCGTTCGGACGCTGGACATTCACAGGTGAGACTCACCGACAACAACGTTGCCAAAGGTTTAAAATCAAAGCCTCATCTCAGTCTAAGGTCATATTGTTTGGTCTCCAAGGACTACGTTTCAGTTTTTCCAATCGGTTGCGATTGAACAAACGCAGTCTTTTGTTGTTTGTCAGGAAACGAGTCTTATTTCTTTTTCCATGAGAATGGTGAGGATATTAAATAATAAGAATAATAAAAATATGATAGTAAACATAAAAAACACAATTCTAAAGCCTCCAGGTATATTCAAGGAAAATAAAAAGAAGTTAATGAAACCAACCATAAAAAAATTGGTAATTATCATGTTTGAAATGCCTCAGAATCTGACTCCAAGATCATACTGTTTGGTACGTGTCAATCTTTTGTTGTTTGTCAAGAAAAAAAACTTAATTCGGTTTTCAATGAAAATGATGAGAAAATTAAATGATACAAGGTGGGTGGACCATGGAAAGTCACTGTAACGAATAAACTGTTTTTGTTAGTTCATTTACTGGATAAATGAAAGAAACAAATAATTAGTGAACACTTTGTTTTATTATACATTACTTTTTTTATTGTAGATGTAATCACTATTTATTAAACTTAACTTTTATAAGCTCTTTCAAATGGCCTTGCAAGGAAGAGGGCTCCATACAAAGCCAATATTATAAATCAGTCGTTCACAAGTCGTTCAACTTAAAACTAGAGTTGTAATAATATCAAAATATCCGCTTTGCTAAAACTACATAAAAATCTCTTCCATTTAAATGAAAAAATAAATGCTTAACATATTATGATCTTCTTTAAAAAACTTAACAAACATTCCTTGAACACATTGGTATAACTAAGAATATATTCTTGGAAAATTTAATACTCTTGAACCTTGTTTCTCAAAATTCTTGTGTTGTGTGTGTTTGTGAATATTTTGGTATGTAATTTTTGGATTATGTTCGACACTGTTTTTTTGATTTGACACTACACTGATGAAGGCTGTAATGTTGGCTGAAACGTTTGTTTTTCCTTTAAAAACCAAATAAAGATATGAAAAACCAAATGAAAACTTAATCAGAGTGTTTCCAGAACCTAAATCCCAAGAAAATATAAAAAAACTAAGAATATATTAATGGAAATTATTTAGAAATTATAGTGATGAGTATTGAGTATCGATTATAGTATAGTATTGAGTATCGATAACAAATAAGTTGCCAATGCGTTTTAGAATGAAATTACAAAACATATCTTCTTATGGGTTTGTTCTTTGTAAGGCCAAAATGTTTTGTTAATTAAAAAGTTGAATAACCCTTATAAATAATAATATTATAAACATAAAACATTCTTTCAACTTTCCAGTACGTATTTATCTATAACTAAGAACTAAGTGTTCATATTTTCATGATTTCTAAATGTTCCTAGTAAGGCGCATGTACCCTAGCAGAATTTATAAATAACTATGACTTTTTTGGCCTTCAAAGGAGCATAGCCTCCATGGTCCACCCACCTTAAATGACCTAAATGTGATATTAGCTCATCGATTAAAAACTGTGATATTTACAAGCAAGAATTCATGATATAAAGTATAATATAAATTCAAATAAACTAATACAAAAAATATTCAATTATACAAAATAAATTATATATATTATACATACATATAAGTTCAAGTCTCTCAGTAACTACGTAGTTTCTAATTTAATTTTCAGAAATAAGTAACATTTAAAAATTATGACAAAATATGAAGTAAATTATTATGATTGCCTCGTTACACACAACATATAATATATATTTTTTTACCTATTTTTATAAAATACACGAGAATTTCTTCGTCAGGTTTAAAGTGTTATATTTTTTTACTTTAAGCTCTATTTTCATATTTTTTTTAGCAATATGTATACATAAATCTATCAACTTTAATTCATAAACGTAGTTTTTTGTATACTTTACAATTTGGCTTATTATACAGGGTTAATTGAAGGGCGGTTTTTAAACACTAACTTTAAAATACCCTGTGCGATAATTTCGTGAGTAACTATTCCTAAAACATTATTTCTCGATCAGAACCATGTTTTCTGAGTATTTTCGATTTTGACTCATGTCAACAAATGCCTTGGTTAAATTTTAAGAGCGAAATAAATTTGCCACCAAAAAGTTGCAAATTATGTTATTTTTTAATATAACGAGGTGGCTTTGGTGACTATTGCCGTAATGTAATATCGACACTGATTAGAACTCTATATTAAAATTTAAAAAATGTTACAAAGTAACGACACAGGCTTGGTTTTAATAAATATTAGTAACACTATAACAGAACTAAGGATATTTAAAATAACTGTAATAACTAAGTGTACAAACAAACAAAAAACTTGTAAAAAATACTCTAATTCCTTGTACTGTCTCCCCTGGCTGCTATAACTGTAGACGTCGGTTCATAATGTTAATGAGACTGCAAATATGTATATGTTGTTATGTTTTCCCATTCTTCTTCAAGGGCCAAGCGAATATTCATTCTTTAACAAGATCAATGACTTTTGCAAAATTTTCCACACATATTCAATCGTACGTAACAATAATCACCAAAACCAACTCCTTATTATGAAGAATAACATCAAAAAGTAACGATAATTATCGTTACTCAATTTTAATTATAATTGAGAAAATTGCAAAATGTTTATGACAAGTTCATTTTGCTCTTAAAAATTAATTAAGAGATGTGTTGACATGAGTCAAAAATCAAAATATTCAGGAGACATGGTTCTGACCAAAAAATGTTTTAGGAAAATTCACTCACGAAATTATTGCACAGGGTGTTTTAAAAATAGGGTAAAAACAGCTCTTCGAATAACCCTGTATAATAAGTCAAATACAAGTTTTTAATAAACTGAGTTTACGAATTAAAGTTGATATATTTATATACAGTTTGTTAAACAAAATTAAGGAAACAGGACTAAAAATAAAAAAATATAACATTTTAAACTAGACCAAAAAATTTTCCGTTGGGGTTTTTTGCCTTTTGAAACTAAGTACCCTTTTGAAAAAAAAATGTGTGTCGATTTCGCATTATACAGGGTGATTCCTGTAAGTCGGTCATGCTTTCGAGGAATGATAGGGGACGTGGAAATATTAATTTGGATATAGCACACTATGGATCGGAAATGCCTCTTACGCAAGATACAGGGTGTTAAAGTTTTTGAAAAATTAACGATATTCTTTAATAGTTTTTTAACAGTTGAAGGTATCGTTATAAAATTGCATTATAGGAATCTACCTAACAGATACACTTTAAATGTAAAAAGAAGAGGTGTTAGTTTCAACCAGTGGCGTAGATGTGATACGCATCGGGTAATTTTTTCAAAAAAATAGTACGCCACTGATAAAAATAAAAATTTCGGAGTTTTTTTTATTTACTCGGTTTATTTCCAAGAAAAAATGTCTCTTGCAACTTTCTCCTATCTAACACCATTTTGTCACAATTAAAAAAAAAAATATTTAATGAGAATCTTAAATACAGCGAATTATTATAACTAGAGGGCAGAAACACATGTGCATCGTTAGCTCCCTTCATCTTGGGCAACTTTAGTACTTTTTACTATTAGCTCTAAATAAATTTTTAAAAAATTATAACTTTAAACTAGAATTTTTTTTATTGTTAAAAATAAAATTCGTAGTTTTTGAGGTAGTTATAATAATTCGCATATTTAAGGTTCTCTTTAAAAAAATATTTATTTTTAAATTGACAAAATGGTGTTAGATAGGAGAAAGTTGCAAGAGACATTTTTTCTTGGAAATAAACCGAGTAAAAAAATAAACTCGGAAATTTTTGTTTTTATCAGTGTCGTACTACTTTTTTGAAAAAAAATCCCGATGCGTATCACATCTACGCCACTGGTTGAAACCAAAACCTCTTCTTTTTTACATTTAAAGTGTCTGTTAGGTAGATTCCTATAATGACATTTTATAACGATACTTTCAACTGTTAAAAAACTATTAAAGAATATCTTTAATTTTTCAAAAACTTTAACACCCTGTATCTTGCGTAAGAGGCATTTCCGACCCATAGTGTGCTATATCAAAATTAATATTTCGACGTTCCCGATCATTCCTCGAAAGCATGACCGTCTTACAGGAATCACCCTGTATATATTATTATGTTATTTCACAATAAGGACGAATTATTATTGCAAAATTCATAGATTTTTAACAAATAAGATTAAACCACGTCATTTGCTCTAATATCTATATAAATATTTGACATTGATTATGATTATGAACTTATATCATTAGCGCACAACAAAAAATGGGATAAATATTCTCACTCGCTCTCTCCATATTTAGTTATAAATTAGATTATTTACGTCTATATTTGTAGATAGATTGATAAATTATTATCAGCAACTGATAATATGTATATTTCTTTTGAGATTGTTTTCCAAAAATATCCAAATATTTCCAGAAATAATAGGTTTTGAAAAGTTCTCTTACAAAAATTACATTTATTCTAAAGTTAAATTAAAATTTTTATCCCCTTGAATAATGTAGTAATAATAATTATATTTTCAAGTAATTTTCTCCAGTTTAAATATAAAAAAAAATAATTGGAAACAATGAAAATTGTACATATTTTTACAAAATAATTCTAGATCCTGATTTTTTTATCCCTAGAATTTAGTACAAAGAAAAATTACTCTCTCAAAATTTAAAAAATGTAGAAATAATTTATTAAAAAAAAATAATAACCCGTAGACTCCGAGAGGTTAAGGCAAGTCAAGGTCAAGATAATTTGAGTGGATATTGAACATTATGAAGTACTACAAATGTTTTGAAAAAAAAAATTAATAAAAAGATAAAAAGGCTCAATGAATTAAATTTCTAAAAAATTATCTCAGGTATATTTTCAAAACACTTCTAAAATATTCATTGATTACTTTAAGACTATTTCTCTTGCTTGTACTATATAACGACAGGAATATAAAAAGGAAGTTTTATAAAAAGATATAACAAATATGTTGGCAA